TGTCACCTTTACCCTAATCAAACAAACCTGCCCTCCATTGTCGCTAAACAACATCAATATTCCACAAGAAACCGAAGTATCATACATTGGTGTCCATTTGGATAGACAGCTTACTTGGCGTGAGCACATCAAAAAGAAGAGAGATCAACTAAAACTAAAGGCTATTAATCTACATTGGCTGATAAACGTCCGTTCACGACTAAAACTGGAGTACAAAGTACACTTCTACAATGCTGTTCTCAAACCAATTTGGACATATGGCTCTGAATTATGGGGAAACGCTTCCATTAGTAATTTAGAGTTAATCGAGAGAGCTCAATTGAGGATACTGAGAACCATCACTGGGGCACCCAGGTACATAAGAAGTGATAATATCCGCGAAGATTTAAATGTGGGATCTGTTAAAGATGAAATCGCCAAGGTGAAAGCAAAGTACCAGCTTAAGCTTCGGAACCATCCGAACAGACTTGCACAGAATTTAACTTGTCACCCAGCAATAATAGTTAGGGCCGTAAAAAAAAAATATTTAATTGTAACTAATTAAATAACTGTTTTAGATTAAGATTTTACTACTTATCGTAAGTCTCCTAGAGAGAAGATCCGATAAATAAAGAAAGCTTAAAAAAAAATCCATTTTAATATTATTATTTGTATTTATTATTTGATTGGTACATATATTGAATTATGTAATAGGTAATGTAAATGTAGACAAAATGGCAACTTAATGTTCGACGCGACAACTTTTCAGCTTGACTACTTAGCAACTTTACAACTTTTAAGCATGACGGTTTCAACTTTATCGACCGCACGACCAACTGTGTGTACGGCTTCCCAACGACTGACTGACTGACCTTCTGTCCATAGGGTTGCCACATGACCGCAATACTATCCCTTCTTACATTCGGCCATCCTGATAATCGGAATCTGTCTCAGACGACAGAAGTTCTTGGTTAACGTTTGTAGCTTGGAGCTTGTAGATGTAGTAACTGGGCCTTCAACATCAGCAGCTTTTCGGACATCATAACGCCCGTTGCGTTTTACCTTAACAACTTCATAAGGTCCAAGATATGCACTTGCCAACTTTTTACCTGCAACAAACTGCGTGCGCTTGATAGCAACTAAATCGCCCCCTTTATATACAAATTCACATTTGCGCTCTCTGTCATAGTTTTTCTTGTAAATTTGTTGTGCTTCATTGATTTGTTTCTTAGCGGCTTCTCGAATTCTCTGCCTCTCACTGTCAAAATCCTCGATGATCTCCTGCTCTAGCAATTTCATGATTTTATCGCTGAACTTATTTTGCATCTTCGTACCAAACAGTAATTCAAAGGGTGACTTCTTCGTTGAGCAGTGAACGTGTGAGTTTATTGCTCGCTGTACTTGCGGAACAAACTTGTACCATTTAGATGGATCTTCGGCTGATAGCTTGGGAATTATTGACAGGATCGATCTGTTTACGCGTTTTATTTGTCCATTTCCTCTAGCCACACCAGTTGTCGTCAAAACGTGTTCTATTGCGTTTGACTTAATATATTCCTCGAAGGCGTTGGATGTGAAAGCAGCTCCTCTGTCACTTATTATACGGTTTGGATTACCAAATACGATTGACCATTCGTTTAGCTTGTTAAGAACCTCGTCAGAACCAGTTGATTTAGTAGTAAATAGCCATACAAACTTTGCAAAACTGTCGACTATAGTAAAAAGAAACTTGTATTTTTTAGCTGTACAATCCATTGGTCCCAAGTGATCAATGTGGATTGTATGCAACGGCTTGTTACCTTTCTCAATACAGTAAAGGTGTCCTTCTTGCTTTCCTGTTTTCTTGTTGTGGATGATACAGCGTATGCAGCTATTAACAACTTGCATAATCCTATTCTCCATATGTGGTATCCAAAATTGACGGTGCAAGTTATGCATTGTTTTTTTGATTGAGTAGTGGCCATCATTGCGTGCAGTAGTTAAAATTTCATGTTCCATCAACTTAGGTACGACCAACAAATCGTTGCCATGAACTTGCTTCTACAAAACTCCACCTTTAAGCGTAAATGATTCATATGGACGGCTTTTAAGTACTTCCAGTATAGTTCTTATGTAGTCATCTTTTTGTTGAGCCACTTTAATACGTTTAGAAACTTCTGATGTAACAACAAGTACATTCAACGGGTAACGACTCAAAAAATCGACGTGTTGCATTTTTTCTCCACCTCGATGCTCGATTTGGTAGTGAAAGTCTTCTAGGCTTAGTATCCATTGTGCTACCTCACGTGGGACGTTTTTCTTCTTGACGGTTTGTGTAAATGCGGAACAGTCTGTTACTAATTTAAATTTGATCCCAAGCAGATAATTGCAAAATTTTTCCATAGCAAGATACGCAGCTTTTACCTCTAGAAGGTAACTATGACGCATTGAATCACTCGGTGATGCCTTTTTGCTCCAATAAAATACTGGATGCATACGTTCTTTAAATTACTGGAATAACGTAGCGCCGAATCCTTCTATTGACGCATCTGTATGCAGTTCCGTAGGTGCACCGCGACAATACAAGTATAATCTCAAAACAGGTTCGTTTGATAAAGCGTGCTCCTTCGCAGCTATAGCTTTTATTTCGGCAGCTTCCAACTTAAACGGGACATCTTTTTTCAAAAAGTTTGTTAGTGGTCTGGCAATATTAGCGTATCCCTTGATGAATTTCCTAAAAAAGCCTGTGAGACCCAAGAATGACTGAATTCCTTTGATGTTTTTCGGTTTTACAAAATTTTTTACAGCTTGTGTTTTCTCAGAGCCGGGCCAGATGTTGCCATTTTCAATACAATGTCCCAAGAAATTAATTCTCTTTTCCAAAAAGCTGCACTTTTTCCACTTTATGCGCAAGTTGTACTTCGCCGCCTTTTCTAGTACCAACTTCAATTTTTTGATGCATTCATCGGCAGTTTGACCATAGATAATGATGTCGTTGATGTACAATTGCATTACATCGTCAGCTATGAGTTTCTGGAACACGTAGTTAACAAGACTCACGAACGCAGCTGGTGAGTTGCAAAAGCCAAAAGGCGCTCGATTAAATTCGTATAGGCCTTCTTTTGTTATAAATGCTGTGTACTTTCGGCTGAGCTCTTCGATAGGTTTATTGTCTTTGTTTTCCTCTTCCATTTTTCTTCTACTCGTTACTTGTTTCAAGCGAATACTCTGTCTCGTTACTGATTGTATATAGTCGTTTCTATTACTCAGCACCGCTTTTTTGAGTATCCGTTTTGTATCTCCTTTATTGCGAATCACATAAAGCTAATTTTTCTGTATACCAAGAACACGATTTTTCTACTTCATAATAAGCGATCAACGTTGCATGACTTCACTGTAACCTTGGACGACTGTTTTTAAACACACTTTTAAATTGATTCGCAAATATGTGCGTATATTAATATTATTTCTTCACACAACTGCACTTCACTTTCGACGGTAGATTTTTTAATGGTTGAGCCCCCAAATGTAAAAATGAATGTTTATTCCATTTTAATATTATTATTTGTGTTTATTATTTGATTGATACATATATTGAATTATGTAATAGGTAATGTAAATGTAGACAAAATGGCAACTTAATGTTCGACGCGACAACTTTTCAGCTTGACTACTTAGCAACTTTACAACTTTTAAGCACGACGGTTTCAACTGTATCGACCGCACGACCAACTGTGTGTACGGCTTCCCAACGACTGACTGACTGACCTTCTGTCCATAGGGTACTTATTATATACCATATTTGCTATTTGGAAAATGAACTCTTTAAAAAACTTTAGAGAGCGTCGAAATAAGAATATCGTATAGTAAATAAAGTAAATAAGCACATTTTATTTAGCACAGCAAAGACGGGCAAGACCTGCTAGTTATTTAATATTTCTTGACATGTGTACATACGTTCACACATTAGTGTCTCACATTTTGCTTTGGCTATTTGGTTGCACGCAACTACACCAACAGCTGCTTGTATGTGTGTGGGTGTATGTATACTAAGTTGTCCCCATGATATGCATTTTATGTTGTTTGTTCTGCCTGCATTTGTAAAGCGAGAACAGTACAGCTGTGGGCACTACTTGGTCTTATGTACATATATGGCTATAACTTCCTGTTAAATCAATCATGATGAATCTTGGCATTTGGACTTATAATAACTAACTGGGGGTATTTGCAAAATTTCGAAATTCCACAAATTACGGGAGTTACGATTTGTGGGGGAGAGGGGGGAGGGAGGGAAATTCCAAAATACACATTTTCTGCGTATTCACAAAAGGCATCTTGGACTAAAATTTGGTGTCCCTAGGTCTTATAGTCTCCGAGATATAGGTGATCAAAAAAAATTTAAAAAAAAGTCGAGCGCGCTCAACTCTTAAATACTCTCCCACAAAGAAGAAGCTTGAAGATATAACTTTCTTCATAATTGACCTATCATGATGAAACTTGGCATAAGGAAACATAATTACTAATTGGATATATTCGAAATTCCAATAGTTACGGGAGTTATGAATGTCCCTGAATGTCACCCTAGAGGACGTTTTATACTGCAACCAAATTTCTCATAACTTGCTGTCTGTAAAAAGAATGCAAGATTCTGGTATAACTATCGAGTTCGAAATCCAAGAATTACCGGAGTTATGGAAAACTCAAATTGCGAGGGATTGGGGGGGTGTATCAAAAAAAAACACAAACTCGTCCTTTCTCGAACTTAGGAGAATGTGGATACCACGTATGGTTGTTCTAGCTCTTATACTTTCTGAGATCCTTGCGTACATACAGACAAGCGGACAGACAGGCAGACGGACATAGCTATCATCCTGATCAATAATATATACACTCTTAGGGGTCTGCCACGCCTCCTTCTGTCTATTACATACATTCGCACAAAACTTGCACCCTTTGGGTACTGGGTATAGAAAAGATTGCAGTTGTTTATTTTATTGTGACTATTTGATTCTGCATCATTAAAAACTTTGTTTTTTTTTCAGTATGCCCACAAAATGGCCTATCTTATTGGACAAAACGTACAACGCGACACCGCTGAGAGCTTGTTGGACAAACTTTTTTATTTATAAATCAAAAATATATATAACCGTTTAAGTGTTAACTAATAAATAATACAACAATAATCCTAAAATGATTTGATGATTTAAACTTTTTTAAAACGTAGCTTTTTGTTGCAGGTTTATATATTTTATGTGTCGGTAATATCTTCTGTTAACAACAAAGTAATTTAGAGGATTGGATTAAAAAAAAAAACATGAACATAATTTATTTATTAAATTACTGCTCTCATGTACAAATCGTATTTTAATCCTAGTGCTTTCCTTTTGGTTTGTTTTGCTTACAGTTTTATGTTTATTTATTTATTTTATCGACAAACAAAGCTGTCGTCGCAAAAACAAAACCCAAAACAATAAAGAACAATATTGTAGATAAAAAAATGGAAGCCACAAAAGACGGACGAGTTATTCTGGAAGGGATATGTGAGTATAATGTACCAGTTGTTAAATTTAAGTTATGTCATTGGGTGCGGCATTCACCAGGTTGGTAGCGATTTGTGACGATCATTAATGGTTTCACCTTGTGACCGCTTTGATCTGTAATTCATTTGATTAAAAATATTAATCGCAAAAACAAATAAACAACCGGGAAAATATTATGATTACAGGAGATTGGTTGCGATTGCTATTGTGACTGACAGTTGTGTGTGAGTAGTTGTCAAACAATAACGAAAATGTTGCCCGTTCTGACAAATACAAAAACATATCAGTTGTGACCTATATGTGGGGCGAGCACAAAAGAATTTATGCAATATGGCCATATTTAAAGTTTGGCATGAATTTTGCTATTGTTGATTTTCGAATTTGTTGTAAGTTGAAGCACAAATAATCTTAAATATAAGAGTTACTTAGTGTAATACTAATACACGAATACACGTGAATACTCATCAGTTGAAAAACAAATGACAACATCTGTGTCTTATATGGGCGTTAGGATAAGTCCAATATTTAACACAGTTCTTATATATGTCACTAGCAGGTATTGCCCGGCTCAATATAATGCTTCAAATTGTATTTATTTTGTGTGTGTGCATGACCTACCCATATATTTTCACCTTATTAATTACCAGTAGGAAGGCATTTTAGGTATTTAAATGAACATTTTCTGTTCTTGACAAAATATTATTCAGTAGTCCGTTACATTTTGGTTCTTGCCAAAATATTTCGTTAAACGTACACACCGTGGTCATGTCCACTATAACTAATAAGCTCTTTGTCCCCCCTTTGGAGCTCGAATTTTCCAAAAGCCTTTCTTAGTGCGCACTTACACTGTGATGGATACTATGACTGGATTGCCAATCAGTCAGTCAGGACAAACTGTTTTATCGGCTGTCTGGCCCAATGTGCATTGTTGAAGATAATAGCCCCATTTCATCATGCAAAATCAATCAAGTGTGGTTGCATCTTTGAATCTGTGTGTCAAGCTAGTTTCGTGGTGTTATTATAGCGTTACATTGTTGTCTTCCTTTCGGGTTGATGATCGGGATCCCTATTGTGTATTGTTTGGCATTGTAGTCACCAGCTGCTATGAAGCGGTCACCTAGTAGGTCGAAGAAATGTATAAATTCTGCCTCAGAAACGGAGAAGCGCGGTGGGCAGTATACTGTGGCTAGGCTTAAATAGCCGCTTTGTATATCGATGTGAATTGTTGTGGCCTGTAGATAAGTTGTAGCAAATGATGGCAACGGATAGGGTGCCTGATGCGACGCTTTATTTCGATGCCAGTACCTCCATGAGCCTTACCATCGGGATGATTGGTCGTATAGAAATTATATCCATTGAGATGAAAATAATTTTTACTTGTTAGTTGAGTCTCTGATATGAGCATATCGTCAATGTTCGTTTTTCTTCTGTGAAATGCCATTCGCATTCCAGAAACATATTTTTAGAGAAACCATTTAAGTAGATTTCTGTTTGATTAGTAACTAGCAGGTATTGCCCGTCTTAACCCGGCTCAATAGATTGTTTCCAATTGTATTTATTTTGTGTGTGCGTAACCTACCCATATGTTTTCACCTTATAAGTTACCAGTAGGAAGGCATTTAAGGTATTTAAATGAACATTTTCTGTTCTTGACAAAAAATTGTTCTGTAGTCCGTTACATTTTTGTTCTTGCCAAACTATTTCGTTAAACGAACATGACCACTATAACTAATATTTTTTAAAGCTCGTTTTCCCCCTTTGGAGCTAGAATTTTCCAAAAGCCTTTCTTAGTGTGCTCCTACACTTTGATGGATACTATGAAAGGATACTTGAGTCCAAATTTAATCTTTTACCGTTTGGGCTGTGCGTTGATCACCAATTAGTCAGGACAAACTGTTTTATCTATAGAGATAACGCAACGTTTTAAGATAGACTATGTGCTAAATAATCCTAATTCTAAATTCACATTTGAGTCTTTTCGTGCCATATTGAGTCAATACGGTCACGCACAAATTCGGAATATGAAACACGGCACTCGTGTCAATGCCGTGCAGCGATGAGCCACGATCAAAAAGCACTGAGAATTCTCATCTGAATTTGCTAGAGTAAAACTTTCAATAGTTGAAGCCACCGATACCATCAAAATATCGAAGTTATAAGCAATAAGCAGAATATTTAAATAATAAAATCTAATTATTTATTGAGATCAATAAGAACAAATCATATACATTCATACATCTGCCCGCAATGCGAAGCATAATATGCGTAGCTCCGTTATTCGGTTTCTGCATTACTATCGCTTACGCAGTCGTTGCCTAGCGACGGTAACTGTAAACTTTTGTCGTTTTGCCTTTGCAATTAACATTAAATGGTGAAAACGAAAGAAGAAGAGCGAGCCAATGACTTGCAGTTGTTGTTGTTTTTAGAGCATTATTTTTTTTACAATCAAACTGTTCGATTGCCTAATGTATACATTAATACGAATGTACATATGTACATTCTATATATATTTTCTCCAAGGAGGAGATATGTGCAGCGATCGTAGCGAATGTGGAGAACATCAGCCTGGACTGCTTGTCAGTAAAGTCGATTCGCAAGGCACGTGGTGGGCAGCAAACTGCAGTGCTATCACTGCCAGCTGACAAAGCCACGTCACTTTTGGAACTTGGCAAGATCCGGATTGGATGGGTCATATGCCGCGTGCGAACCTTAGTTGACCCAATGCGGTGCTACAAATGCCTAGATTATGGGCACATCGCAGGAAGATGCACGAGCAGCGAGGACCTAAAAGGGAAAAGCAGTTCCCTTGCGGCGAGAAGGGCCATGTTGCTAAGACCTGTAGCAAGGATCCTAAATGTATGCTATGCTTTAGGAAAGGAACTCCAAACTATGCCCACGCCACCGGCAGCTTCAAATGCCCAGCGTTTAAAGAAGCAGTGCGTCAGGCGAAACACTGAAGTTCATCCAGCTTAATCTGAACCACTGTAGTGCGGCACAAGATCTGCTGCTCAAAACAACACAGGAGCTCTCTGTCGACTTGGCTATCCTAAGCGAGCCCTACAGACCAATGGAAGGCTCCAGATGGGCTATCGACCAATCGGGTAAGGCGGCGCTATGGGTCTGCGGACCCAGCGGGATTCATCTGGATGATGTACGGGCATGCAGAACGTTTGTGCGCGCAAGAGTCAGCGGCCTGTGGATCTACAGCTGCTACCTGGCACCTAGCTTGACAATTAACGAATTTGCAACAGCTTTGGACGAGCTGGTGACCGACGCAGCGAATCGCCGTAGGGTTATCTTGGCCGGCGATTTTAACGCATGGGCAGTGGACTGGGGCAGTATTTGTACGAACACTCGTGGCCGTATACTGCTTGAAACCTTCGCCAACATGGATATTTCCCTGCTAAACACAGGCACCCAACCCACATTTAGTAGAGGCGGCGCAAGCTCTATTATCGATCTCACGTTCGCAAGCAGCTCTCTGTTCAATTCTGCGTCGTGGTCTATGAGTGACGTCTATACGGCTAGTGATCACTATGCAATCATCTACACAGTCGGGGAAAGGACGAGTAGCCAGCGGCATGGGCCGCGCACGTATCACGCGTATCGCATTAACACTTTTAACCCTGCTGCCTTCTCGGAAGCTCTGCCTGCATTGGTCCTGGCCGGGAACCCCCACAGTATGGCGCAGGTTGCTGTAGCACATCTGCAGGCTGCATGCGATAGGAGCATGCTTAAGAGGAGGACAAGTCCGCGTCATCATGATCCCGTTTTTTGGTGGAACGATGAAATTGCACAGCTGCGAGTGGCATGTAATCGCGCCAGACGACTCACCCAAAGACTGCGAGGCACACAGGCGTTTCCTTCCCAACTAGCAGAGTTTAGGAATTGCAGAAGATCCCTGAAACGAGCCATTCGCAGTAGTAAAAGGAACTGCTTTCTGGAGCTATGCGATTCGGCAGACCACGATCCATGGGGAAAGGCGTACAAATCAGTAGTGAAAAAAATCAACGCAGGTCGATACGATGTGCCTTCAACTCCAGACGCACTAGCAAAAATAGTCGGTGTACTATTCCCCCCTGGGCCGGTGACCGGAGAAGAGGAGGACAGCGTTCCACGCCCATTCCAGGAGACTACTGTGGTATCAGATTCAGAAGTACGTGCAGTAGCAAGCTCTCTAAAGGACAAGGCACCAGGCCCCGACGCAATCCCAAACCGGGCACTTAAGCTGGCACTTGCGTTGCATCCCAGCTCGTTCGCAGCACTTTTCGAAAATTGCATGAATTCAGGTGTTTTTCCGGACTGCTGGAAAGTCCAAAATCTGTTATTGCTCCCGAAACCAGGTAAACCACCTGGAGAAGCATCATCCTACAGACCGATCTGCCTGCTGAACACGGCGGGGAAAGTGCTAGAGAAGCTTCTCTGCACGAGACTGGAGGCAGCCCTAAGCACTGCTGGCGGACTATCCCCAAACCAATATGGATTCCGCAAGGCGCGTTCAACGATTGATGCCATCGGAAAAGTGGTCGAGATAGCCGCTAACGCTATTTCAGGGACGCGCTGGAAGGGTGGCACTAAGGAGTATTGCCTGGTGGTTACGCTGGACGTAAAAAATGCTTTTAACTCGGCCAACTGGATATCCACGCACTTG